ATTCCCAAAGCTGCCAGTTGGTCTCTGCGATGCACGTCGCACGCCATCTTCCATGTCCACTCACTGGTAGGACAGGAGAGAAAACCACCTGTGCACCTATCTCCTTCAGCACATCCTGCAGAGCATGACAGTCCGCCATCAGGTGATCAGGGCTTCTCCTGGCTGCATCATTAATACCCACATGTATTAGGACCATGGGGTAGTAATCGGTGGGCTGGATCATGGCCTGGATCATCCCCTTCACGTCCTGAATCTTTGCTCTGGATAGGCAGTAGACCTCGTGTGTTGAGGGGTCCTGGCGACAGACAGGGCCCTCTGTACCTCTCAGGATGGAGTCGCCTATGACGATCACTCAACACTTTTTCCTCCGGGACTGGTTAGCTCCTTCAGCCTGCTCGGATCGTGGAGAGTGTGGAGTTGCCTCCTCTCCGGTTGCCTCCTCTCCTTTCTTCTCCTCCAGAGTTGCCAGGGCCTCGTACCTGTTCTCCAGCCGGACTGGAGGAACTGGTGCTGCTGTGTTACGAGCAGCCCTGGTTCTGGAGGTGACCATCTGCCACTCTGCAGTGGAGGGCACTTCCCAAGGTGCTTCTTCCTTGGGTGTGTGACCCTGAAGGGAAAGGAAATAGCCGTCAATTTCATCCTCCGCCTCCCTGATTCCCCTCAGCCTGCTAACCTCCTCCTGGAGCTCCCTCACCTGCGCCTCCAGGGCCCTAAGGCAGGCGCCCGCAGATCAGGTGTGGGGGTCCCCAATCCCTGCCCCCTGGGCCTTGCTGGGCAACTCCTGCAGGCCAGGGGGTGGGGGGACGCCAGCCCCCCCATGGGCTCTGTCTGGGTGGAGGCCTCAGACAAGCCCCAGGTAGGCTGCGCCCCCTGGGCAGGGGCCCTGGCAGCACTCCATGTCAACACCATCGTAGGAGTTGCTGCTTGTTTATGGCTTAGTGCAGGGCTTTGCCCTGCCCTAGCAGGAGTCTCCCTCCTGGACCTTTCTGCTCGCCTGCTGGTGCAAATGCCAGCGCGCTCTTACAGAGCACGCCTGTTTGCACACTCTGTTCACACCGCCATGGCTCGGGAGCGCGGCTCCCTACCAGCTCAGCTAAAA